CTAAATTCACGAACTAGGAAGCAGTTTGGATAGAGAGGAGCGATTAAAATGTCTGTTAAAGTATCTGTTGAGAAGAAATCTACGAGCAACCTCGAATAGGAGCGGCAATATTATATTTATTTCAAAAAGAAGAAATAATTGACATGATTTAAATTTAGATTCAGGAGAAATGGCAATTATAACATTTACCGTACGTTTGTATAATAATTCAAAACAATTAAGTGATTGCAAACTATAAGAATAAAAGTGAATTTCTCTTTGATAGATCTCAAGACTCAAGCAACTTTCGATAGTCGTGAGAAATAAAGAGGTGTGTTACGATAGTAGAGAGCGCGGCGTGAAAATATAAGGAGGGAAGCCGTCTTTCGATTTAATCATTTTCCATAAATCAGTCAGCGGTGTTAATATTATCTATTTTAGAACGAATCTCGTGAGTTAAATACCAAACGTGCATTCAACAAAATCGCCAAGAGGAATTACCTAATCCATAGTAGCGCAGATAATCACGGTGTTCCTCACGCGCGCTTATCCCGTCGCGCTCAACGAGGCGAGATAATGTCGTGCATTTGAAAATAAGGTGGAACAAACGTGCAACTCGCGCGCGGATAAATAACACGGTGGAACGTACGCGAAAACGGGCACGGAAATGCGCGTCGCGTGTTAACGCGCGCGACCTTTCGCGCGTCAGAAGGAAACCGCGTGCGAAACGGATTACGTCTCTACTTCATCGTCCCTTTAACATCTTATCTTCACACGAACAACAAGATAACAAATCACGTACGACGAAATGGTAATTCCGATAAGTATCACGTTCGTATGCATTTAGCGAAGCAATGAACTTTTAACCCTTCTGAGTCGACGCCAAAATCTATAACACAATTACTGACACTGGGTCTGTAAGACCCATTTAATTAATTCTCTATGAAAACTACATTTATAAATTCCGTTGAAGTACAGAATGCAAGTGAACCTCTACTTTACGACGATTGATAGAGAAAAATTCAATGTCTTTTTATCTACAATTTAGAACCTCATACATTGAAAAAAATTTTGTTCATTTTTGGTCCAATGAATGATCGTTACTCAATGTCTAACTTAATGTCCGACTTAATGTAGTTAATTTATTGATACAATAACTGAATTCATTTATACACTATAACTATATATATTTATTCTTGCAATGAATTCTAGGAATAGTTTTATAATCTAAATCATTATGAGAATTCATTGGTCCAATTTTCATTATTTTTTTATAATTCAATGAATATTTTATTGTATTTACGTACAGTTTTGGTTCAGTGTAGTATTATGGTACAGATTGTACAACTATTTAAAATTTTCGCTTCGGGTTCAAATGATCTGTTGCTGTAGTCGAGGATTGAAAGGCACTAAATAATTTCAAGAAATCAAAAAGAATAAATATTAAATGTATCTTAATGAAAATAATCCAAATTTACAAATGTAATATAAAGAAAATTAAATTGACATTTTTGACAAAAAGATTTATGATTAAATGGATTTAATAGACCCACTGTCAGCTCCAGAGAGAGCTTAAAACAGACGTGATTACGAAGTCGAAGTTTCTAAGAGATGATACCGTTTTTTTCCTTTTTTAATTACTAGCACTTGTCTCTCAAAGCAAGTCCTATGGATATCAATACGGTCAGAAGAGATGATACAGACTTGTCGTGAGGTAATCGAAGTTTAAAGTGCCAAAAGTAGCTCGCATTATGAGGGCACGATCGCGGCATTAACTTCTCGCCGGCATATAATGGGACCCGCGGGGCTTACGTGATCGCGAGCGATCGCGAGCTTTAGTAGTATCTGATTACGAGATGTGTATCTACGGAGACGGCGCGGCGCGCCAACTGGTAAGAGCCAACTGGTCGTTAAATCGTGGTACGCGCGATTCTTCGGCCGGAACACGCGCGATTGTAGTTCGTACCGATGCGATGTTCAACACGTGCACGGGACGTGCGAGCGCAGTTCACGTGAAACGCCAATGCGTGAAAACGTGGGAAAAAGTTTCGAAAGATAGTACCACCAGACGGGATGATTCCATATAGCACAGACCTTCAAGGGATGTCTTAAAGATGTCCAAAGGATGTTTCCAGGATGCCTTTTAGAATATGCTGTGTAGGATCATATGTCGTTTTATGGGATGCCGTAATTGCCATTGATGATAGTTAGTTCGCTCGAAATAGACTCCTCTCGGTCGACGCTGTGAATTCACTGATTAATGATATTTAAGCGGCATCGACGTGCATCGACATCGTAACTCACTCACGCGTTGCGCCAATCGCGAATCATCCACGAACGAGCTCGAATCTGTACGTCTTGCTTTTAATTCAATTAATCGTCATTACGTCAGCGTCCAGAATATCTAGGAATAGAAAGGCATTATTCAGCATAAAGTTACGATATCTCGTTTATAACTCGAATGAAAACGTTAATAATTTTCTTGTAAGATGATAGCCTTATAAATCAATAATCATATGGCCTCAAAAGTAAATCATGCATATCGAAATAAATTTACTTACTTGTCATGTTTAATAAATTTTACATAATCTTCTCTCTATTACCTCTTACTCTATTTGCTTCGTATTTCTCAAGGATTTTGAGAATGCTATGAGCGTAAGAAAAATATTGATCGTTTATGTATATAAGAGAAATTTTATTAAGATATATTTTTGCTTTGTTGCAACTTTATCGAGGCGCATCGTCTTCATCAAATTCCGACACATTTTGTAATGAATCAAAAGTGCCTATTATATATGGCTGCTTGTTGACGCGAATCAGCTACCGGAGTCTCAAATTCCTTTGCATATTTCCACTAAAAGACAAGATAGACGCGGAACGATACGATCGCCGTGACGATCGACGATCTGCACGATAACTCAGTACGCTCAACATAATAATTAATAACTGCGCGAGCGCATATCAAGCCCTTCCACGACATAAGAAAACAATGCATGTCGCGCGCGTCGTCGTGGTGGTTTTGTTTCGCTAGCAACACCAACTTACGAAGTCGTATGTCTCGCGTTAACTAGATGTATCCCACTCTCCTAATCGGAGAAGGGGACCGATGTAATCCCGATATGTAACGTAATAATAATGACAAACCGATAAAGATCTCAACAGTGCCGGTCACGCCTACAACATATAACATACACGACGATGTGTAGCAATACTGCGATCGTGACTGCGCGTTAGAGCGCAATGATCCTTGCGAAGTGACTTTCCTCCGCGAGATAACATCGAGGCTACACGAAAACTAAATGGCGAAAGACGTTGGGAGATTATAGTTCCTGCTTTGCGCCATGTTGGCGATTGGGATTCAGGACAGATCGCCGCTTTCTAAACCCTTTCATCCGCGATTCAAAGAAACGTATAGAGACATCCTTTTTGTATGATGCTAACCAATACGGCTCAAGAAATTGTATAATCGCACGAATGTAACAGCAAAGTATACGTTTTGACGGAATTTGTAAAAATATTGATGCAACTAATTATAGATTTATGAAAGGTAATGATTAGCTGCAATTGATGATATGTGGAGAATGCATAAAATTTATTGTTGCTTATTACATACCTGATTGCTTTGCGAAAAGAATAAGTGACGATGTCAGGAAGGAAGAGAAAGATCGAAAGCAAATGAAAGGATCAAGAGGAATAAGAAAGGGGCGGTCTTGTTGGTAAAACCGGTACTTCTGCATCGACAGCGTAGGATGCAATGAAGCTATTAATCGTCTCTTCGAGCTACGCATTACTCGCGTATGTCTCATAATTTTTGATTGCTTATTATCGTAAGTTGTACTCTTTCGAGAGAGAATTAACTCTAAAAGATAGATCCTTTTCAAACTCTAGAGTTAATATTTTTTTTCAGTCTTGTATAAAATCTCAATTTTTTAAAAATCTGAAATAAATCTTTTAAAATGTACATTTGAATCTTTTGAACATATAATTGAATTGCTAAATAATTGTTTTGTGTTAAATCCATTATGAAAAAATGAAAATAAGAATATTGTATAAAATTACAATTTTTTTTAAATCTTGAATGAACCTTTTAAAGTATACTTTTAAAAATCAGACTTTTAAATAACTGTCTGACTTTTAAATGACTGTTTAGCTCATGACACTAAATCCGTCATGAAAAAGTACGTGATTACTGTAGTTACGTAACAACACAATGATTGCGCCAGAAAATATTTCTACACATATAGAAGCTTGAAGACACGATGTACTAACGTTTTATACTGAAGAATCACTTAAGAAATACCGGTCGCGTTCGGAATGGCGCTTAATCGCCGTAATGTAAAGATACACATGCCGCGCGTCTAAAATCGGATGATAGTTAATCGACGTAAAGAAACGTATGCGAGGGAAAGAGACGGAAAGAAATGGCGATAAAGGAAAAGAGGCAGACAAGACCGCGCCTTAATGGAAACAAGTTAACGACCCATGGAAACGTAAACGCAGTCACGTACACTCGAGTAACGATCGACGAGTGACCAATCAGTGATCATTATTTATGGTTATGGATATAGCCGCGGATCCTCAATGATTACTTTTCGTATAGTTCTGTGGGTTAACTCGGGAACACCTTAACGAAAATCTCATAAAAGATCCAGCTAACCTGGATGGGGGAAACCGCGTGTAATAAACGATATTTATATCTAATATCTCAAGCAAATAAAAAATTTCTAATTGATTGTAAGTATTGTTTGCCTGAAAAGTCGTGTCAACAAGATGAAAACTGAAGCTGCAGTATAGACGGATGTTTACTTTGCAATTGTTTTAAATCTTAGAATTTGTTTAGTTGTAATAATACTGACGTTTGATATCTATATTTGCATTATTAACAATGTCTGTATATAAGATATATTAACGAACATTATGTGCACAAAGACTGAAATGGATAAATGTAAAATGTGCATTTGATGAAGTTGTTCGGAAAGACAGGAGTTTTAATCGGTATGTTTTTTCTTTTTTGTTCTCAGGACGAAGTAAGTAACTACCCACGGCGGTTACGAGCCGTACTTGGGCTAGACGAGACTAATGACGAAATGGCATCGGGGAACGTGAGCTTTTCTGAACGAAGCCATTAATACGCTTATTGTGTAAGCTTGTCCCGTGCTCGATCGCTGGGCATGCTGCGTTAAATCGATATCTCAATGACGCGTATGGATATCCAGTGGTTTGCAATCAGATTGATCCATCGAAATGTAAGATGACTTTCACCTCTTTGTGATTCGCACTGTAATTACGTAAATAAATTAATACAGCTATTAATATAAATAGATTAATTTACAGCTTTCACAATACATTGATGAATATGATTACTTGAAGAGACGCTAATTTTTTTTATACTTTTTAAGAACATTTACTTCTGTGTATTAGCTGACTTTTAAGATTTGCTTCTCTTTCAATCTATTTTCTTCGTACGTGCGTGGAATTTATTTGATATGATTATAAAACTTTTTTAGTTTAGAAAGAGAGAATTAATCCTCCTTAGAATTGTACTGTCATAAACAACCTTTTTCGTAGCGTTTCATTTTATACCCCGGCCGTCTATACTTCTGAAATACCATCGGCATTGACGCATGAAGCGAAGACAGCCGTGGGGATCGCAAAAACCTTGCGACATAAATAATTCGAAAATGTGGGTTACAGGGTATCGCTATGCCGCTCGCGATATCATATATTTGCTCGGCCAGCGTAGGAAATACATAAAGCGTCTATGCGGAATCCGCGTCCTGGATAACGAGTGCTGATGCGGAGCTCAACGTCGGGCCTTAAAACTGTCAATCGGGAGTTGCGAGCACACTGAAGGCTCGCGATTCGAAACAGAAAGAGCGAGGAAGAGAGAGAGAGAGAGAGGCATTTGTAATTCTCGGGAGTCGAGAATGACTCGGGAGAATCGAGGAGACCTGCCCGCTCGACTCCGTGTCGACACGCTTAGCCTCGTTTGTCCCAAGTAATGGCCGTAGTCATAACTCAAGCGGCTCGTTCCTACATATCCCGACTCACATATCCGCACAAGGACGAGACGATCAGATTCACGGAAAGGACAAGTCGATCGGCTCTCGCAACTGTCCGCAACCGCGATCGCTTGATCGATCCATTCCGATTCGCGACGCTTGATCGGCCAATCCTTATATTCACTTTGATGCTTCTCCTGTCATTATCCGATATACTTCACATTTATTACATTCTATGCTCTTGAAGCCGTTTGCTGTTATAAATTATCGTGTTGTATCAGATAAAACGATGTTTAGAAGTACGTTGTTTAGAATGTCGTAATAATAGAACATAAAGATAAACCGTAGACTACCGAAACAAAGGAAACGCAATTCATAATCTTTCTTGCAAAATTATCGGTCTGGAGCTAATATGGTTATAGTGGAGAGCATTGCGCACTTTTATTTGTATAGCTAGGATCGTCATCGAGCTTGCGGGTCTAATTGGTGAAAATTGAATGAAGTGCGTCTTTGCCAACTGCATCGAGGCAATGGCCTTAACGACTTAACGACGGCGTCCTCTTCCTTCGTATCATTCTATTAACGTATCAACTCACCGCCTTTTAACGAGGATATCATAATTATCGGTGATAAATTTCGCAACGCTGATTTAACGCAATGCATTCGTTACCGGGCAATCTGATAATGTTTATAATGAAGGTGAACAAGATAGATTTTTCTTTACTTAATTAAAGCGCTTTATATTTGTGACATTACCTGTTTCAAAACGACCAGTAAATTGTCTTATTTAATGTCCTGTCTACAATGATAACGAGGTAAGATTGTCGAAATTACATTCGCAATTGCGGGATTGCAAAAAAAAACGTTGGCTTCTCGTAATAAATCTCGATTAAACGTGCTTCGTTAAAATGTAATAATCACTTATTGCATCTTTTGCACGACAAAAACTTATCATTAAGTTGTCAATGCTAGTCTGCCACCATAATCGCCGGGTGACATCAGTTGACGGAAGAAGGAAGAGGAAGGAGAAGGAGAGGACCGCCTTTAGTCATGAATACTTAAACGACCGAAATCAACACGCAGGTTTTTATCCAGACAACTTTTTACATCAAGCGCAGCCTCTGTCACTCGCATCGTTTCGCGCAGACCGTCCTGATAAATTGCGCAAGGACAACTTTAACACACTCTCAACTTTGTGCTCGCTGTTTCCCTTCCGGCGACGTTCGTATCTATGTTCCGCGCAACTAACAATAAAAGAGATAGGTACGTAGGCAATGAGAGAGCCGAGTGGCACTTTAGTAAGCGAAGTTGATCGCTTTACATATCGAGGACGATGCAATTCGTGAGTGTACGACTTACCTCGCCTACGGCCACTTAATCGCGCATAGCCTATCTGAAAGCGAGACCGAAGCGCAACTAACCGACACCGAGAGACTCCTTTGCCCATCCGGGTGCATCATCCAGGATGATTGCCGACTCTTATTGTGTCGTCGACACACTCTATACGGAGAGCTTCGTTCATAAACACTGTAATTATCGCTTCACGAGTGACGTTGGAGACGTAAAGATCCGCGGGTAAAGGAAGAAAGGCGCGAGATTCGAGCGAAAGCTGCGCCGTTAAGAAGTTTACGATTATTATTAGTTTACAACTCTGAATTCTGAAATATTCCTGTCTCGTATTGTTTTTCGTACTTTCTAATTCTGTCTGATGAAATTACAGTTCAGCTTTCTACATTCAGATTTCTCGCTTTGAATATAATAAAATCTGTCTCTACGAATTGATTGAAAGACAGGACGAGTACATTTAAATTCATCCAAAATGTCTGCTGTTAATTTCGCGATGTTTTGTAACGTTGCGTTTCGATCGATATTATTCGTTACTGTCAAAACCAAAAAATTTGGCATTAATGGAATAGACTTACAAAATATACCGGAAACTATTTTCTTGTTTCAAGGAGAAATTAAATTACATTTATTTTCTACATATATTATTAAGTTGACAGTTTGCTTATTTCGTTTTTAGTTACGCATAAATCATTTTCAAATATACGATTATTTATGAATTAACAAAATAAAAGGAGAGTTTATATTTTACAAGTCAATATTGAAATATATTTTCCAAGAATATTTTGCAAGAATTTTTATTGTGTTTTCTCGTTTCCGATCTTACAATCTGAAATAGTAGTGGTGAATGAACGGGAGCTTTAAAATATATTGCTTTAAATTTAACGTACACGCTGAATAACGCAATTCGCTCTCCGAACACGATCGTCGGCCATTTGCTCCGCGCGGAATCCTACTAATTTACAGATCATTTTTAACGAATTCTAGACACCACACTCCCTTTTTATCCTCTACTGCGCCTTCTTCGCGTTTCTGCCGATACGGATGTAATTAAAAGCAACGTGACGAGCATGTCGAACAGCGGACTGAAAGGGCGATTACTAGAATAGCGGCTGCTATTCGTTACGCGGGAATCGCCTGAAGGAGAAACTAGAGGCCAGTAGCTGACATCTATCTCAAGAATAGAACAAGAAAATTAGTAGTGCGGTCGATCGCCGATGGACGAGCAATCTTATAACTTTATCCTTTATATTGTCGTCATGCGCGGCATGAATTTTAACGATACACTTTTTCATTCTTTTCCATCCGGAGATCGAGTCTTGTCTCATATTTTACAATAAAATTATTCACATGTAAATGAGTAATCAGTAATGTTTGTTTAAATCACTCAGTGCATTTCCTGCGTAACAGCTGAACTGATTAGCAATGTAAATGTCATGTCCCTACGTAGTCGCGTCCTCGCGCGCGTGTACGATTGTGCAGCAAAAAAAATGCAATTAAACTGACAGACCGAGCTACGAGCTGACGTCTATCTCTAAGAGTGAGACAAGGAAATTAGTGTTTCTCCGAGGCCGCACGTCGCCGGGTATTCCGCCGCGGTACTTTTGGGGTTGTGCTTAGCGCGAGAAGGGCGTCTTAGCATTATTGGTTTTACCCTCAAGTCTTTGGAGAGGGATTACCGTAAGTAGGGAAGGACGAGAATGAGAAGAGAGAGGAGTCTGGGGGAGCACGAGAAGCTCTTCTCTCGGCGCGTGTTTCCTGCGCTTGACTGCAAGACTGCCTCGCTTAAGTAATTAGACTGCCGGCTGTTCGTTACCTCAGTCATTCCTGAGGAGGAGAAAACTGCCAAGGATGGTATGCGTACGTTTAGCGCAGCCAGCCGACATCTCGATATCCCATGAGCGAGCTTTATTCGTTTTTTTTACAAGCTCGTATTTTTCATATATTTTTCCTTTTTTTCTGTTTCTGTATGCATAAAGAATTTCTCATTTGTTTTCTAAAAGTCTATTTAAAAGTTTAATTTTTAAAAATGAATAAAGCTCGTTCACAGAGTATCACGGGGTATTGAGATGTCAACTAGCTGCGTTAAACGTACGCACATCATCGTCGGCAGTCCTATAGCTATGTTATATGCTATGCACATGCATTTTGTGTGCTGTAGTCCTAATTCAGGAAATTGGGGGTGCTTTTCCTATATATTTTATTAAATTGATTATGTAAACTCGCGCAAAAGAAGTAACTGTTCAACAAATACGGCGTATGACACATGTTATCATTACACTTACCTTGATAAATTTTTCTTTCTAAATATTTGCACGTCTAGCGAAACGCAAAAACAACATTACGGCGCGAGAAGTCACAGTCTTGTAAAATATTTTACGGACGCCATCGAGTTCGACGAAGATGAATTTCTTGAGAGATTTTTTTATGACTATACGGATAGAAATCGATCGCGTCGCCAGCTGTAAGAGCCAATCGGAGACGGGAAACTAACGACTTAAGTCTCGACAACGTGCGCCAATGCTCGATCGTGCGGAACAAACTGCTTTTCCGATAATATTACTTAAAGCATGTACTATGATCTTCAGCTTTGAATGATTACGCGTTGTAAAACGATTTTCACTGCGAAATTCTTACGTGCCGGACGACCCTCGTAGTCGACAATAATTTACTACCGCGCAGCAACATTCGATAATTATCATTTGCAATGCAACTTATATCCCACAAGCCTGTAATTTCTGATCTCTCTTGACCGACCGTTAAAGCCTGGTCACAGACAAACTGTTTGACATTACATAGCAATCAAGAAATTTTCCTTTTAATGTTTGATATTCTTTAACAGCGCGACTGTTCCTCCTTTTAAAAACCAATAGGACTATTGAAGCATGATTATCGAAAAATTCATTAAAAATTACTAAATAGAATTTTCAAATACAAACTTCTATAAACTTACGAAAAAAAAAATTATTAAATAATAAATAGATTATAACTCTACATACTCGCGTAGTTTTTTTTAACATAATTATTCGCGTACGGTGTTTTTGATACTCTAACATCATATTTCAATTTTTATTATTCTTTTTGATAATTTCTAATTAAATAAAGATTGATAACATTCTATACATTCTTTAGATAAAAGTAAAAAAAAAATTTAAACAATTTGCGCTAATAATAAATGTAATAATGCGTATAAATAGCATTCATACATTTAGCGAATTTACAAGGCCTGAACATCCCATGCGAGTAATGAAGGCTTAAATATAATATGTATAAAATAATTATAATATATATTGAAAAAATATCTATCGCAAGATCTTTATTCCTTATAAGTATGTGTAAAACATCTCGCGATCTTTTTTGCTTTCGAGATAGTCAGCTTCATTAACTTCAATAGGCAATGTGATCGATGTGTGGCTCGAAGTCGCGTAAAAACGTTTGCAAGAATCAAGCAAGACCGTCGATCTACGCGTTTTTTCCACACGAGAAGACATGTATATATAATTTTTCGCTTTGAATGCAATTGGGCGACGTGTATGGTGCCGATCATCGTGAGGCGGTCTCAAAATTTCCATGGAATATTCAGTAGATCGGACCGACCGATAACGCTAGTGTTGATCGTTATGATTTGATTTATACGCAATTATAGCCTGTGGTGCGTGCCATATAAATGCGGTGCGTTCGTGCCGCGCCGCGCCGGGCGGCATACAGTGTTTATCCTGTGAATTATTAGTTAGGAATTACATGCGGGAATCACACGAGAGGAAGTAGTCACGCTGGGAAAATCGAGTTGTGTCCAGGAGTTGTGTCGTACACTTCGCGCGGACCTTATTTGGCGAAGCAACGAGCAGCCTCTTATGATAATGTGCATGAAAGTTCAAGTTAAACGAGCTCTAAAGAATTTTACTTTTGTCAATTATGAAGGACTTACTGTAACAATCGGCCAGGGTTGACAAACGTTATTTTTCAGTTACTTTGTCGTTACTTTTTATAGTAAACAATTTGATGACGATGTTGCAATTTTTTCGCAATAAGTTTATTACAGTTTTTAAGTTGGGAAATTTGGGGGGATTATTAATATTTTCAGATTTGATTGCATTGAAAGTCCAACAACTATATCGGCATGCAATTATAATTTCTGAAATTAATTCATTTAAATGAATTTACAATAGTTCAACATCTTAACGTTCTGACCGTTATGGCGCTTCTTAATTTAAAGCATTATGTTTAACATTAGCGGTCTTTCAATCTTATTATTGATAAAAAGTAAGAGTTAAATTAAGATTAAAATTAATCTATACTGATAGAAACAGGCATAAGGCTAGTTTTACAATTCATGGTTAACTCTTAACCGAGGTTTAACTTATTCCTCATCTCTTTCTAATGCTAGAATTCGAAAGAGAAATAAATTGAACCTCGGTTAAGAGTCAACCGTGAGTTATGAAACTAAGCCTAAGATATTTACTGTTGAGGGTATTACATACGATATGAGATTGTATATATTTTAATAGATCTTGAGTAGCCCTCATAGCAAATTCTTAGTTGATAAAGAGGGTGAGAACTTCGTTATTCTCGTCAAAGATGATTGGAAATTCGATTAAATCACTTTTCATTATTATTATACTATAAATTCGAACAAAACGCGGCAACAAGCTTTTGAATTTTTTTTAGACGCATCAACTTCGCATTAAACGCTTCGTGTTCGAGCTGCTGTAGTTGATGCATGAGAAGTGGGGAGAATCTAGGGAAATATGTGCGCTATTGGTATTCATTGATGCGCGCATTGATTGAAACGGAACGGTTTTATATGTAGTCTATGTGCATTATACATGCAACGGAACATACCCTAACTAAACGCTAAGGTTGTACTAAGGTTAGAAAAATCACTTTGAAAAGTAACTTGTCACTATTACACGTTACACTGAAAAAGTTATAAGTATAACGAGTAACGCGTAACGTTACGCGTAACATTACTCGTTACTAAAAAGTAACGCGTTACAAATTAGGAATTATTTTTTTCAGTAACGAATGAGTTTTTCAATCCATTACAAATAACGATTGACTTTTTTAACTCTGATGTTAGCATTATCATAAAAAATTCACAATGTCATTACCAAATCGTTATTATAACAAGGTAACGATCAACAAAATACCACGGCATTACAAGTATATGTACATATATATATATATATCACGTATATATACATATATATATATATCACGCATATATATCACGAGTTTTGTCAATGTTGTTGGTTAGCCGATTGCAGGATTGACAAGTAACGCGTTACTTGTCAATCCTGCAATCGGCTAACCAACAACATTGATAAAACACGTGATATTGATAGAAATGGAGAGATCCTGTGATAAGAGTCTGACTAAAGTGGAAATAAATGTAATTTTTTGATTGATTCTCCATATACGAAACTTCGTATATTTTGAGAAAGTGAAAGAAAGTGAAAGAAAAAGAAAAGAGATAGTTATAAGAGAGAAAAAGCAAATGACTTTGTCAAACTCTTGTTACAGGATTTCTAGAAATGGATAAATGACAGAACACTATAGAGGTTTTTACAAAATTAAAATTAGCTCATTGTAACAAGCACTTCAAATATCACAAATTCAGGATATTTCTTTATATTTCAAAATTCAAATTATCTTTCGTATAAAAATAACCGAATATACTTGTTGCATTATCCAATATTTATCATATCCTCACTCTCTATTAATTATCTCAATCTTGGGAAGACTTATCTTGGGATTTCTTTGTCGAAATCTCGCACGAAGTCGATCGGATCTCAAGCGCTTGCACTGACGCAACGTAAACGCGCGAATAGTGACGTTGCGTCAGCACAAGATGCGCAACATGGCTGCAATAATAATGCGTTTGATTTACGATAAAGCCACCGCTGCCTGGTCCGTCCGACGTCACGGTGATTCCGCGCGAACGCATCCGCAAGCGTGATAAGGCAGGTAGGATCGAGACGGAAGGATTTACTTCGTCGGCAGGACGATCCTTTCAGTCGGACGTTTATTCCATCGACGAACTTTCCGACCTCGCGGTTCCTCCCAAGTAACTAGCTTGTTATAGAAGACACACGCGCATAACCGGACTTAGACCTGGCGCACCGGACAGAAAAACACTTAAGACAAGTCTAGACAATAAAAATTGCCGTAAAACTTGCCGACCGGTGGTTCGTTAATTTCTTAGATTTATCGGCGTGTAAACTTGCTGAATCAATGTCTGCTTGTAAAGTCGTATTGCGAAGCATTGTTTAAAACCTGATGTCTTGTATGTAGTCATCTATGAGAATCTATTCCTCAACAACGATTGAGAAAGTAACGTTAAAAAGAATGAAAACTTTATGAGAGAAAAGAATACATTTCGAAAAAATTTAATCTGAATGAAGATACATATAATTGCTTATTTATAATATATCTTTATAACAAAACAATATTGAATACTTATATTTACATATATTTTTGTAAAATGAATAAGTTCGTTTGAAGAAGTTTATTTTTTTATGTTATTTCAACATGATATTTTTGTACGCATTGTTCCAGAGATGTCATTGGACGGACATATTGACAGATACGAGTTAACGCTAGAACCATCTCGTGTTTCAGGTCCACGCACGAGAAGAGTGAAGAGGACAGACGGACGCGGCGGTGGCACCCCCGAAGAGAAACGTCCCAGGACCGCATTCAGTGGTGAACAATTAGCGAGACTGAAAAGGGAATTCGCGGAGAACCGATACCTGACGGAAAGACGGAGGCAACAACTCTCGAGGGATTTAGGTCTGAACGAGGCGCAAATCAAGATCTGGTTCCAGAACAAGCGAGCGAAAATCAAGAAGGCCAGCGGCCAGAAAAATCCTCTGGCGCTTCAGCTAATGGCACAGGGGCTCTATAATCACTCGACGGTACCGCTTACTAAAGAGGAAGAGGAACAGGCCGCGGAACTTCAAGCGAAATGACGACTGCAAATTTAAACGCTCGGAAAAATCTAACGTTGCAACTTTGATCCCCTGAATTTCGTATCTGACCTTAAAGGAGCCATAAGCGAAAGTCGAATCTTCTATTCGATTTTAATTCTTTGAGCAAGATATTTTAGAAAAATTTCAAAGGATGAATAGAACTTGGAGATATCAGATTAGCGTGAAAAATTCTTCCAATACGATCGGAAAAAATTTCGATGTCAAAATTTCATGAAACAATTCTTTTTGGAACTAATAATTTTTCTTCTGCAAAAAAATTAAAACATTTCTTACCAAAAAATACTTTGTTAATTTTGCAGGTTTTTAAAAATAAATCAACCAAAGCGCGATGTAAATCTTCATATATATTATTTAAAAAAAATAAATATATAATGTATTACTTTAAAGAAAGTTGTATCAGGCCAAAAAGCTAATTAAACAAAACTTGTAGAGCGGACCAAAGTCGACACGGTCTGTCATTTCTCTTCCTTAAAATGAAAGACTGGAGTATTTATTTCGCTAGACGTATTAGTACAACTCATTAGACAGAGTCAACTCGAAGAATTCTTGTCTTATAATTAGAGCTTCCGATAGAACAACAGTTTGGTAAATATCGCTTGCTCTCGTTTAAAATAATCGTGAGCAGGAAGTTAGTTCTACTGAAATGGATATGCGAATAAGTAACAATCGCCGTTCCTTGCCATCGCTTTGAGAAAAGATGAAATAAACGTTACGACATATGTTTCTAGACAGCAGTACAATTGGATCAGATTTTGTAGGAGAAAAGTAATCGGCGATACAAGGTGTCTCAGAAAACAAACGAATTTCCTGAGAATGCTCTGTATAGAATATTGCTGTGCAAAGATAAGAGAAAAAAGATAACTAGTTAATAATATTTTATATTGTTGGAAGAAAAAGAAATGGATTTTTTTTATATAACAAGGGATTATTTATATTATTATATAGATAATTTTTTCTCGCAAAATTGATGGAGTTGTCGAAGAAATAAAATACATTCGATTAATGTATCGTGCGATGGCATGTAGCGATTAGTTTGTTATGGAGGAGATTAACAAGTGCCATTTTTTGCAATTTTTTCGGTAAGATTGTTTACACGAAATCTTAGAGAACCATCTGGTGACGAGGAAAAATCGGGATTGGACGAATAAAAGTAGGGGGAATAAGAGTTTTCGTTAATTTATTGTAAAAATGTAAGATATTATATATCGCGAAACACTGGAGTGATTGCGACGTGCAATAGAAGATTATACATAATAGAGAGAGAAGTAAATAGAGACGAACTATGTATAGGTGTGTTGTATATGTAATTTCGCGCGGAGCGACGTGTACATAATTTACCATTTAGCGACGGCGTTGTCCCGATAGACTGTTTAAAATGTAACTTAGCTATTTATTTACGTATGATATATGAAGCGTAGCGAGCGCATACGAAAGATCACGCGACAACTGATACTTGTAAGATTATTTAAATTCGAATTAAATATTCCCATTATCAAGCCAATCAGCAATGATTTATTTCGTCAACACCTACCTCCCAGTGAATGTTTGTTCGAGTAAAGTATATAGCCTGTGACACACGTCGACAGCTGTGTATGGAATCGAAAACCCGATTAATGAATTATGACATGGCGACATGTCATCCGCGAGATATGTCACGATCAATGGCCATAACAGGTAAATAAGTCATTACATCATTGTAACGAGAGAGAAATAAATTACATTTGAATAATATTAAACTTACTACAATTTTTTTTAAATTTTTATATCTAAAAGTTTATTTGTAATAAAAGAAACATAACTAGAAAATTAACATACATGCAAATTTTTTATATAAAACTATTTTTTTATTAAAATTATAATAAACATAACTTCAAAATAATTTATTTTTGGACTTTTATTTCATTCATAACGCAAGAAAATAATTATTATACGTAAAATTTACAGTTACGATATCAATTTTTACAGATTGTGTATCCTATTTGTTTTATGAATAATTCGTAGCGATGAAAATAAAATAAAAGAAGAAAAACAGATCTTTTTTTAAACACTTTCAGCACGTCTCAAAGAAAAGCGAGAATGATGGTCGAGACGATCTCTATGCGGATGAAAGCGGCGCGGGCGGGGCAGGTCGATTCGCATTCAGCATTTGGCGCATGCTTCCACCCCCGACTCGTTTCAGGCATCGTACAAGCCCCATGAAAAGCCCCTCCTGCAGGCGAGATATCGATTGATTTACAGTCGAAAGGTGGCCATCGTTGATATCAAGCCAGCCACGCCTACGTTATACCGTAAACGCGTTGCGTGTGTTGCGTTACGCTGATCGCGAGTGGTGTCGGTTAACGCGCGTCATACTTCATTTAACCCTACTATCGCTGTCCACGCAAAAGTACGTACTGTCTCCGCGTTCCTTGTCGTACTACTTTATTACATTGTTTATAGGGGATATTGGATTTTTTCAGTAAACGCGTAACTCTTAAATAACAAGTCTGTTTTCCGGTATCTTTAGAATATACATATATATAGTTTAAAAACATAATTATTAGATCCACTTAAATTATTAGATCCATTTAAATTATTTTAATAGGAATAATCTAAATTTGTAAATATAACATAAAAAAAATTGAATTGTTCAATCTTTTTGTCAAAAATATTGAACAATTCAATTTTTTTTATGTTATATTTACAAATTTAGATTATTCCTATTAAAATATATTTAGTATTTGTTCCTTTTTACATGAATTATGCCAGTTTGGTTCCTTGATTAATTAACGCTTTTTAATTAACATGAATTAAATAGTAAGGGTCTTATAAAGCCAGTAAATATTGCAAATTTTGGCAAATCAGTTCTGAGGAATCGAACATCTCACATATACAATCATCTAATAATAATAATAATGATAATAATAATGATAATAATCTTCTGCAATATGCCATCATTTCGAGAGCAGTGAGAGAGTTTCCAATTTTGAATCGAAAGGAAAAAGAAATGTATACTTTCGTATTTGAAATAAAATCAAATAAACTTTAAAATTCTTCGCGGAATTCTAATTGAGTGTTTTTTGTCGTCGAAATTCAAAGGTCGAAAACTAAAGATATCCGAGGGAACATCGAAACTCGAACGTCGCTGTCAAAAGGGATGCCTGGTAAGTAATAGGTAACATTAACGTACAAGCTACGGCAGAGTCGAAGGACTGACATGACGAATAATCGACGATAGTCACTTTCGACTATAGACTTCCGTTATACCCTCGTGTCCACGAGAAGAAATAGCTATCTTTAACGCTATAACGATTAGGTGTATCGATACTGTCTTGACCCAATAAGGTTTCCTTAAATTGCAGGATACAAATGCTCAGTCATTATTAACTCCGAAATAAACAAAGTCGCTAAAACTTGCAAGTTACATGACTAATGATTAGCGCAGTTCCACGTGCGCGCGCGCAACGTTGCTAAAGCATAATTTATCTTGAAAAATAAATGAGTATACTTTTTATCATGTTCAACTACATGTGGCAGTATCATTAATTTCGTTTTTGTTCGTTCATGTTTACATGAAGAAAAATGTTTCGTGTCAAAGTTCTTTTTACAAGCAGTTCTCTCATACGAGAGCTTTATAATAAATAATCAAAGAAAGATATGCATAATTTAGTCGTCGCCGAATATATCGTCAGATCTGATTTCCTTTTAAGTAGATCTCCGACGTATACGTTCGGATTTCATGATAAAATGCCGAAATCGACCGCGTTTCGGCGCTCGGGAATGTATGGAAATCCATGCTGGTCGGTTAGGATTAATAATAGCCAAGGTATATACGACGACCGATCGGGCCGACCCCTCGGATCCCGCCAGTGGTCAGCGGGGCCCAATACGTCCCTGTCAGATTAGAATCGCGGTACTTGACAGACTCGCGCTTCTGTCTGTCCGTACGTCCGGCGATGCCTCTTTGGGCATTGGGGGGTCAAACGCTACGCCAGATCCATAAAGACGATCGTTCCTACTCCTTTGTCCCGGAATCTTTACAAATGAGATACAACCAAGAGAAAAGCGGATGCACGTGAGGGGGTACGCAGGCATTAACCCCAGCCGACCTGTTCGGCATTCTCGGAGAATCGCGTATATTCCTCGTGAACGGGAGAGAGGAACCCAGGTTCATATTATGCATCCGTCTCATTGGTCTTTGCTTCGTGATTCGTTCGACGTGCTCTCGTTATTTCTCGAATACTCGACAAGACGATATTAGCCGAAGATAAGCATATCCACATTTAATGCAACGTCGGCTCGGACTAAGAATTAGATCAATGAATGATCAACGAGTTCCTCCTGTATCAAAGAATCTCTTGACGTCGTAACAGTTTATTTGTTGAATTTTTTAATTATTAACTTTTCGGTGTCACTCCATATTGTATTGTTACATATCTAGGTATTGTGAAAAATATCGCGTAAAAATAAATGAACATACTATTGTATGTATAATAATAAATTTTTTTCAGTCAAAATATCAAGACATCAAGGAATATATCGGTAGCAAGCAAATGTATGTATCTTCGTTAATAAAAGAGTTATAGCATAGCAAAGTAAAATAAATACTTCCAGTATGCCACACTAAAAATAGTGAAAGATTAAAAAAATTATTAAATCGCGTATTGTTACACATAGAAAACTATTGCGTTTGTTTTGCTCACTGTGTAGACGACAATTTATATATTTTAATATATTCAGTCGCGTCTATGAAACGATAAACCGAAATCGTTTCCGGTGCAGCCGCAGCAATGGCAGTATTTTTTAACCCGGTTACGCAACTGATAAGAAAACGCTAACATCATTATTTAAATATCACCGCATTTCCTGCCGCTTGTATATGAAAGTAGTTAGCCTTCTTAGAATTGATGAACGAGAAATTGAAGGCGTTAACGGATTTATTTCTCTTACGAAAGTAGTAAACAAGTTTCATTGCTTTCCTGTACTCAATAAGGCGACTGTGGAAGGTGCAATATTCTCGAGATGATGATTAAAGATTACTTAATTAATTAATTTAGCTATTTAATAGCTGGTTATCTCAAAAGAATATGACTTATCCGAAAATTTATATGGATTTAAACGATAGAGTGTAAAACGATGGGTGGTTCTATA